ATAAATTTAAAAACACTTACAGGGTTGTTTAGTAGGTAGCAATAATTTTTAAATATTAATTATGCAACTCGTAAACACCGAAAAATAGTGGCCCTAGGAAAAACTCATACAACTTAGCAGGGTTAACTGTGGGATCTTCCTTATAATCGGCAATAAAGTAGGCCTTCTCGCCGATGGTCACCTCATAGCCGTCAAAATGGGTGGTTGGACCAATGACCTTGGTGATCTGGGCGTAGCAATTGTTGTCATACGTACGTCCCATAGATTTTTCATCTAGCGTGACACAGGCATGGTCCTTTAAGTTATCGGTAGCCTTGGTGAATAGTTGTACAAGCTCGGCCACTTTTGCGTCGACATCCTTTTGCTCCAAGTGGTGAATGCGCACCATTTCCGGCTTAGCTGACCTAGCAGCGTTTACTTTGTCCAGTATGTGCTGTCCCTGGTGATTCATATAGCAGTTTATAAATAACGGTCAAAAGTATATATAACTTTCAATTAAATATTGATTAAATAATTTATGAACAATTTAAAAATAACTTAATTATTAGTAACTTATATTTTGGTGTAACTATGGTCAGGTTAGGTTAGGTTAAATTATATTAGTGTTAATACATACCGCTGTAGATATTGGTGCGTTAATGGGACTGGACACAACCAAATGCATAGCAATGCAAACAATTAATGCTATCGAGTACATATTTGTAATAGTTTTTGAAAATTTCAATTAGTATATAAATACTTAATAATTTTTAATTTATTGATGTCTATTATGAATAACTTTGAAGTTAGGCCTGTGTTTATATACAAAAAATATTATTTTTAGGACAATGGTCCTTAATGGCATACTTTAGTTAATTATAGAAAGTGTACCAGATCATTTATAAATATAGATAACATTAACAATCTTTGTTATTCCATGATATAAAGTATTTTATATAATAAAGGTAATATTATATGATGAAATATATTTAATACATAAATAAATGTTTTTATCTAACAATATGGATATAGATTATTTATTTTCTATTGATTAATAAGGACATTGTATATCATTTTTATTTTCAATTAAGAATTATACGTTTAGTAACATATTTTTGAAGCTTTATCTTAATATTAAATTAAAATAGTAGGACTAGTACACTGTAGGTATTTGGGATATAAACATGCTTGTTTAATAATATTGTGTATATATTTTGTAATACACAAGTAACTATATATTATTTTTTTTATTAAGATTGGACAAAATGCTTATAAATAATTTAAAATAAGTTAAACAACATTTGTTATTCGACATTAAAAATATAAATTAGTAACATACTGTAAATATAATTAAAATTTAATTGGTTTTCTAAAAATATTAACTTAAGATGTGTCGCTAGCCTGATTAATCTTAATAAACCTTGCTCAAAATATAATCCACTTTCCGACTAACTTGGACATACCAATCACGTTCGTTAGGTTGATTGGTACATGGTCGATCGCCATCGCCGTAGATTATTACGCCAATTAGCACCGCCCTGCCATTAACGAACTGAATGACTGGACCCCCGGAATCACCCTGATATTTATAAATAAAAATTTTCAATTAAGTGCATAAATGTATAATAGTGTTAATTAATTAATTTGTTACTCACCCAGCACGATGAATGACTACCATTATAATCAAGGTTATTAGAAAAAATAATACCACCACGCTCATCGTTTACATTATTGGTGGCCCCGTTAATCTTAACCCATCCCATGCGGCCTAAAACTTCAGTACTCCGGTCATTGTTATTGTAGTAGCCGTACCCGGAAATGAGTGCGTATTCCGGGTCAGAGTTGTATATATTTTCTTTGGGCAAACAGATGGCGTTAATCATGGGTTTAGTCGTATCGTTCACATTAAAATCAAGCTTATCGCGGAGTTTGACCAAGGCGAAATCTTTGTTCATCATGGCACTATTAACAGTGACATTTGAGTTGTATTCCGTGCTCTTGATCCTAACAAAATGTTGTGGTCTCTTATCAGGGTGATCAGTGCCATATATCGAGATACTTATAGACATTATAAAGCAACCTGGATCCTGATCACACCATTGAGTGCCTAACACTGGCAAATCATATGTCCTACGTATATGTCGTATTAAAATGTATAGAATATTTTTAAAAATAAATATGTCCACGACCATATTGTAAATAAAGGATAATAGCTAAAGTATGTAGATACTGTTTTAACAGTCACAGAATTATACAATAAAATTAGCGTATATTTGTACTAACTTAGTTTATATGCTAATTTTTATTCATTTTTTTATAATTTTTAATGTGCAATGTATTTTACTCACGACAAGCAGTGCCCGGCTGTAATCACCCACCACTCATTAAGTATAATACCGGTGCACGCTCTACCTTCACCATTCGAGAACCTGGTGATCACCCTAACTAACCAGGGCATTTCACCCCACCCTACACGTCGCCCATTTTCGATACCAACGCCCTCTGTATGACTATATTTAAAGCATTTCTCGCTGTCGGCGGTCATGTGGTGTCTGCTTAACCCGCACTCATTTGTGGTCACATTTGGGTAGCTTTTGATTTGGGCGTGAATTGCAAATATTATACATATGATTAATACATGTACTAAAAATAAATATAAATTTGAGTTACCTATAACCTATCTTATTTAATGGGAATGATGATGCTTTATATTATAAGTATTTTGTAATTTAATTTTTGAATTATAAATAATAATAAAGCACATTTTATTTAAGTTTAATAATTTAAATAATTTAATAAGATAATACCTTAACTTCAATTATCTTTATTTAAAATATTAATTTAGGTAATGCCAAAGAAATATGAAATTATATTGACATGATTATTTTATGATTTTAATTATAACCTAACCAATAATATTTATAATCAGAGTATAAATATATTCAAAGTTAATGTTGAAGTACAGGAAATAAAATACAATAAGTATAATTTGCCTTGAGCACTAAAGATATTAAGTTCCTTTCTAGTAAATTCCTTAATTCAACATTATGACTAACTATTAAATAAAATATTAAGGTTATAATATAATAGCTAATGTAGTAATAATATTTTTGAACCATACAATATGTTTTCTACAAGCACATTCAGTGGGAGTATAGCCACATACTTCAATAGCAGTAGCACTAATGGTTAATACAGAAATCTTAATTTTGTATTAATTCAAACACAGTTGCCATCTGTTATATGAGTAATATGTTTTCTACAAGCACATTCAGTGGGAGTATAGCCACATACTTCAATAGCAGTAGCACTAATGGTTAATACAGAAATCTTAATTTTGTATTAATTCAAACACAGTTGCCATCTGTTATATGAGAAAATAATTAAAATTATTGCAATCCGTGTCCACCACCTCCAATACCACATTATTAATTGCAAAATTTTTTTCAATGACGATTTTTAATTTATAAAAATATAATGTTACTGCTTTATATAAAAACGTGATTTTAATGATATTTAATATGCGCGTACATGCGATAATGAATAATAATATTATTAAAACAACTTTAAACAGAGCTAGAACCCTTTAAGATAATTTTAAAATTACTAAAGTTTTTAACTAAATATCTGGAGCAATTATATTAATATAAAATAATATTTATCTAATAGATTTTTTTTATAATAAATACATTATTATAAAAACTTTACGTAATCATATTTAAGTATGATATTCGTCAACATTTTTTAACGTTATTTTTATACAAATAGTTTTACTATAACGTTGGTTTGATACACTTAAAGTGAACGATTAGACAAATATGTTGTATTCTGACATCTTTAGGATGTTTGATTTTAGTATAAAAAGGGTGCTACATTATTTATTAAATAAGCTTGAGCATTATAATAAAATAATGAAACTATTGGTACTAGTTTGTTTTGTACTATACTGTAAGTTTTTCTCATTTTCTCGAATTAATATAATATTTTATATAATATATATATAATATATATCATAATTTATTTAAACAGGTACAATCTCAGTTGACTCCGAAGTCACTACTGAACCCCCTTATCGACAAGATTTACTCGATAAGGGCAATGAGCTCCAGGGTGAGGCAATGATCAAGATCCAACAATTACTTGCCCAAGGTAAAACTGCCGAGGCCGAGGAACTTGGTCATTTGCGGGATGCTTTAAATAACTCAATGAGAGCCTACGTCAAGACCTACCACTCGCCACCTGACCGAGATCATTGGGAGAAACAAATGATCCAGGACATTAACACTTTGGAGCAAGCACTGCACAAGTAATAGTGTTAATCTACAACTACACAGTTATTAATTAATGTACATGTTATCATGAAATATTGATTTTTAAAAATAAATCCAAAAAAATATATAATTATTGAACTAGTAATTTTTAATAAGTTTGCTTGATAACAAAATTTGTTTAAAATAAGTTTTTAAAATAGAAATTACTTAGTTTGCTTGTATTATGTTAAGTAAATACAAGTCATTAATCTAAAATAATTTTATTTTGTTAAAATAATATTTTTATTTAAGATCAATAATATTTATTTAATGATAATATTATCTAATACTTTGATTATTTAAATCATATATAAGTTAGGGGGATTAAACTTTATTGTTCATAACCAATATAAATAGCTTAATTTTTTGAAAATATTTTAATAAATTTTGCTTACATAAATTAGCACACAATGCGCCACACTATATTAATGCTATTGTTATGTAAGTTTTTAAATATTAAATTATATTTTAATTTAATAAAACATTTTTGTTAAGGTTCAGTTTTGGTTTATACGGAAGTATCTTAAATTAGCACACAATGCGCCACACTATATTAATGCTATTGTTATGTAAGTTTTTAAATATTAAATTATATTTTAATTTAATAAAATATTTTTGTCAAGGTTCAGGTTTGGTTTATACGGAAGTATCTAGCTCTACAAAACCACCATTCCGCCAGGATTTATTAGACAAAGGTACCATGCTCCAAAATAAAGCAACTACAGTGGCCGACAAAATATACCGCCAATGTCAACCTACGGACGCTGATGACCTTGTTAAATTACGTGATAATGTTAAAATATCTATGAAATCGTACGTGTATAGTTATTATGATAGCCCGCAAAAGGAAATGGAGTTTTGGGAAAATGAATTGATCAGGGATGAGACGTATATCGAGGCTATTTTACTACGATGCGCATAATCGAGACATATTTAAAATATTTTATTATATTGATATTTTCATTTTTTAAATGTTTCTAGTAAAATAATTGTAGTTTATTGACAAGTTACTTTTATTAAATAAGTAATTTTAAATGATACTTTTTCTGAATTGATATTATTAAAACCTAATATGAAAAATTATTATATTAATTATGACTAGTATTAAAAATATAGTATTATTTTTCAAAATATCAGCAATCAATTTTAAAGGTTTATATTTATCAATATTATTTTATTTACCATTAACCTATAATCATAAGTATAAGATTATGCATTTCATATAGATAATACAGTATTATTAATGTACTTTATAATATAGTAAATATCACATAATGAAGCATTAACACTTTATAAGTATGTACCGTACAATACTGTATAAAGATTATAAATGTCATTGGTTTAATAACTCAAATATTATCACATTTATAAACTTAAAACAAATAGAAAAATATTTTTTATAATTTTAATTAATTGTGGCAACAACATGGATAAAATTATTTTATATACCTGTATATCGCTTAGCATGTTATTTACTCACAGTTTAGATGCCAAAATGGTTAATCAAACAAGTTCACAGTTAACCATATCATTTAGCAATGCTAATAATTGTATCGAGTTAATGGACAAAGGTTATTGCGCTAGAAATATTCCCAGTGGTAAAACTGAACAGTATTATTGTTGCGTACTGTGGGTGCAAGTTGCTTGCTACAAGGCAAATTATAAAGTACGTATAGCATATTTAATTTATAAATCTATTTTATCAGGGCTGCACACTCATAGTGAGATGTCAAATATTAATTATTAAATGTTTATTTATTTAGCCAATGTGTACCACTGAGGCTCAAAATGAACTAGAACATTTGTGGGATTTATTTGTTATTAATATTGATGGCCAGACTTACACTGAGTATATGTGTGTCAACGATGGTTGGGCAAAGCAAATGAGCAAGGATGTTTGCTTTATAAAATAATGAATATATACCTAAAAATTTATTATTAATAAAAATAATCACGCATATATTCTGTTATTTATTGAGTATACAAAAATACTACAATACTGTATATAAAACTAATAATCTAACTTAGTTTTAAAATATTCAATATATATCTACACAACAAAGGGTTGTAAATTTATACTTATTACAATTAATCAACTTAATACTTAGTAAAGTCATTACAATTTGCAAAATTACGAGGATCATCTGGATAGGTATCATCATTACATGTAATAACTGTATTGCAATAGAAGCAATTAAACATTGATTCTTGCTTGAGCCAATACGAGCGGCAATCTTGACAATCCATCATACAGTATAATACTCGTTGCCTAAATCTACCTTGTTATAGGCATTTGCCTGGAAAAATGGCAAAAATGCATCACGCTTAAAGTAATTAATTTCATTGTAATAGGGATTATTTTCCAAGCCTAACGTAGTTGGACGATTAATACCGTAAAATGCGTCACGCTCAAAACTGTCCCCGGTCAGTTTATTCATCTTAAGATCTATGTATAGCGTTTTGTTCGATATTGAACTAAATTCAAACGCCTTACGAGGTATCCGGGTCAAATTGCTATGGGTGACACGTAGGGTGGTCAACTGATTTAGGTCATAAAACTCACTGGGTGCTAGTGTACTCCCCTCGGAAAATGTTAGGTCGAGCGTGCTCAATCGCGGGTACTCGTTTCCCAAAAATGGCCTATACCCTTTAACCGGTTTGGAATAATTTAAATTGAGCTCGATACTACTGGCATTGGTAAATTGTGTGGCAATCTTGAGGATGTTGTCCGGGTCCATTTTGCGGTTATTTGTTATTGTTAACTTGTTGGCTATTTTATATGAATTATTAAATGCGTGCAGGTCGATATGTTCAATATTGGTGTCGGTGATTGTAATATTGTCAAAGGTGATATCACGAAACTGGTCCGGGTGCAATGCCGTCACATTTTTGTTTCTAAACCGTAGGTACCGGAAATGTTTCTGCCGAGAGTCAAGTGTCTTTCTCAGTCTGTCAAACATAGTGTCTAGGTCAATGGGGTAGTCGTTTGAGCAATCTATGTAGTTGTATTGGCAACCGGTGCATGGTAGTATGACCTTTGGATCCGGGCATGCACAATTGACCACTACCGTAATGGTGAGTATTACTTAAAATAAAATAATCATGATAAATATGTGATAAATATGCAAATTATTGAATTAATAGATCATACTCACTTATTAAATATTTCATTTTAATAAATTTTTAAAATTAATATTAGTTATTAATGTATTGTATATTAAAGTAGTGTAGTTTAGAATTAAGTTGAGTTTTATTAAAAACAAATAAAATTTAGCTTTATATATTTTATAGATATCAGATAGAAATGAATTTGTTCGTTAGAAAAAATATTTTTGTAGATTAAACTTAATACAGATTGTACCCAGTTAAGTTTATTTAGTTATTTTGTGAACTTATTGTGATAAAAAGTTCAATAGTATTATTTTAAAATATTGCGTTAACATAAATTTATTAAATTGAAGTATGTTGCTTCAGATTATTAATTAGATTGTTTATTAATAAAACACTATTTAATATTAATAAATTTATAATGATAACTTATCAATAAATGAAATTAATCTATTATGACCAAAATGTGTTTGTACACAATATGCACGTATTGTTTAGGATTTTCTTTATGACAATATGATTAACCTTGATATTAGATTATAAAATTATTACGAAATTTATAGTAACCATTGTACTGTAATACTAACAAAATTAATTTATATATGATCCTAAAATAAATATATACGAAATTTAATTTAAATTGTTAAGAACTTTATATAAAAGTTTATATCTGGTATATTATTACAAAAAAAATTAACTGTATGCAAAAATTGTAAATCTATAATTTTAATCCTTATTATTTATGCTAGTAATTTATTAATACAGTACTGTGTAGTAGTATTAATATACAGTATTGTTAAGCGATTTTTGCTATACAGAAGTTAGATTTATTTAGTATAGTTTTGAAATAAAATGACGTAATAATTTTAATAAATATTCATTTTAATATTATTATAGTATTTTAAAACAAATGTCATACTTGTGGGTAATTTATGAAACTATGGAAATTATCTTTAAAAAAATTTTCGTAATAATACATAAGTATTTATATACCATGAATTAATGAAATAAAGTATAGTAGAGTATAATGTGGACATAATTAAAAGTTATCTTAACATACATTGAAATGTTTATGTTATTGAATAAATATTCTTAAATCATGGTCAAAAAATTTAAATGTAATTTCTTGACATACCCTTTAAATTGCTTTACGCAACACTGGTAGTGTGACCAGATGTCCAGTTTTAAAACTTGGATTAATTCTAATATTGTCTCTTTTCATACAATTGTCCAGTTTTAAACAAAATATTGAAAAAATATCTAGTCACACTAAACACTGGGACCATCCATGGGATAAAATGGTATTCATAATGTGATTAATGTAGTACAGTAATATTTATAAATTATTAGGTTTTCCAGAAAGTTTTGCGAGGTTAATTTTGAAGCTTAAAAATCAATATTTCAATAACCAATAGTGGTATCAAAAATATTTTTGAACCTCAACTATTAATTCATATAAATTACTGAATAGTTATTTCAGTGATAAATATCCGATGCCTTTGTTGTTGAGATTTAAGGTATAAAAAGTATAACGAGTTTTTGATTGCCTTATTATATTATTAATATACCATATTTAAAAAAATAGCTATCTAACCTAACGGCACGTATATCTCGGAAAAGGATTGGATTTTTCTGTTGGAAACTGTTTATTATAAATAGTTTTCGTGGATATGAAGTAAAACTTAAATTATTTACAGTTTACATATGAAATATTTATAATTTATATATCACTTTCAGATAATTTCAATGATTACTTTGTTATTCTTGAAAATCTACGAGTTCACTAACAAGCTCAATTAATTGATAATTATCTGCGATGCAAAATTTGAAACATTGTATACTATGCTACGTTAAATATAATGTTATTCATATTATATGCACTTTGGTATATAGTTTTTCATAAAATCAATTTTCGCAATTAGCTGTGTGCTAATGAAAAGCAATTATTATACTTGTTCATATTTACATATTTGTACATTGGTA